GTCGCTGCCGCCTGCCTTTCCCTTCCCGGCTGGGGCTGTTGGGAGTCACTGCCGCCTGCCTTTCCCTTCCTGTCTGCCCGCGGATGTCAGCGGAGCTTTGCCGCTGCTTCGTCTGGGGTCTCTGGGCAAACACGTCCACCCGAGCGGGGCTTGTCGCCTCCGGCACGCAACGAGCGCTGCCCTCGGATTCCCTGTCCGGTTGCCCCCCTTTTGAGGGCGATGGCAGTAAACTGTTCCCGTAGCAGCGGCTGCTCCGCTGACATCCGTGGGCAGACAGGCGAACGCGGGACCTTCTCCTCCAAGGGCGCCCGGCACCTTTCTACCCACCCCCGGCCCGTCTCTTTCAAGCGGCGGCGACTGCGGGGCGGGGGTCGTCCTGTGGGGACACCGGTGGCGCGGAAAGAGGGGCAGGCGGGAGAAGCTCCTCTCCCTGCCCCGCCCCGGGGGGGTCTTCCCCTTCTCCCGGTACAGGGAGCTCCGCGGCGCTGGGCGGGCGCCAAAGACGACGCTCGGGGCTCGGTCGGAACCGTCCGGCGCGCCCGATCCGATGCTAGTGCAGCGGCTGCGCGCAGCTTCGCTCCAGCGGCGGCCTTCCAAGCCGTGGCCTTTCCCTTCCCGAGGCGACGCGGGACTGGGGCCGCTCCGGCGGCAGCGACTCCCAACAGCCCCAGCCGGGAAGGGAAATATTGAAAGAACCCAGGCTGTCTTTCTTAGAAAACTTCTGGGTCTTCCTCCTTGTGTTGGTTTTGCTCCGATGTACCTGGAACTGGGCACTCGATCAGTCGAATGTATGGTGTGGATTAACACCTTTAAATGGTGGTTTCGAGTGCTCTTTCTGGCAGTTCCTGGTAGCTACCTCTCCCTGGCGTTTGCTGACTCTCATATTTCTCGTTGGGAGAGGGAGCTGATGAAGAAATTACACCTGCTAGGTTTTACGGGGGATGCCCTGAGAGATTATGGCCTTAAGGACGCCCAATTTAGGGTAGTCCAACAGCTTGTGGACATTGACTTGCAATATCTACGAGCCAGAGCTAACAAAACTTGCTCCCCTCTGATCTTCAGCCAATTTAATAATTACAGAATGAGGATGGCTTCCTATTTTTACACTCTAACCATTCCCAAGTATAGAAGAGCTTTCTCCCTGGCTCGCTTTAATGTCTTGTCCTCAGTACTACTGGATGGGTGATTTAAGAGGCTCCCGATTAACGAGGAGCTATGCCCCTGTGACAGAGCTGAGGTTGAAACTGTGGAGCATGTCCTTTTATATTGCCCTATGTATAACGTAGGCAGATCTAAGTTACCGTCTCTCCTTGAAGCAGACCCTTCTAGACCCACTGTTAGTAATTTGTTCTTATATTGTCTAGGGGATGGCTCCTCATACATCACTTCTCAGGTTTCCAATTTTTTTTTTTAAGAGCTGTAACTATCAGAGGAGAATGCTGTAATTCCCCTTAGTCAAGTTTTTGGTGACCAATTGTTCATGAATAATTTCCTCATGTTCTTCTTTTATTGTACTTGTGTTTTGGTCTGTGACCGCAAATAAAGTATTATTATTATTATTATGAGTCAGTTGCCAAGCATCTGACTTTTGATCACATAACCACGAGAATGCTGTAATGGTCCTAAGTGTGAAAAAGTCACGTAGTAAAAATGGGGAGGATAGTTTTTAAAAGTTTTCCCATTTCTGGGAACAGTCAGGGGGAAGGACTGGGTTTTGGATGTTTGACTGGAGATTTGGATTCAGTCTGTGTTGTGGTTCACCAGCAGTAGGTGCGGACAGTCTCAGAGAGCAAGGACTCAGATGAGGGGCCTGCGTGTGATGCATGGATGGGGCCAGGACCATCAGGGAGTTGAATGCTGCCATCGGAGATTGTGGAGGTTGGCAGCAGTGATGAGAGGTTCCTGAGGAGCCTGTGCCCAGTGCGCGTGCGTGCAGAGCTGCTTGAAGGAAAGAGCAGCTGCACCAGCATGAGTGATTTGGGTAAGGTTGCAAGATAATGGCCCCTCCCTCAAGATATAAAAGCCAGCTGAGAAACCAAGTCCTTTGCAGGAAGCAAATAAGTTTTTGCACTCAAGCCTTGTGGATATTCGGAATATCTTGGTCGGTGTTTGGAGACTCTTTGTGTTTGAAATATTTCTTTGTAACTTTATCTAGTGTACTTGGCAGCCTTGCATCATCTTGGCAAGGCTTGTTCTTATCAGAGATAATTAATTTAAAACAGCTTTTAACCGTGAAAGAACAGGATTCGTAAAGAATCATTAAAAGGTTTTTCTGTTACCTCTGTTTCGTGTTTATTTCCTTGGAACAAGGTTTGGGTCAGAACAGTCTGCAAAGCCAAAAGGGTGTCTCCTGAAGTGATCCCAGGGAATTGGGCTGCTTTTCAAATCAGAAAATTGCAATTTAACCTGAATGTTGCTATTGTTTATTTATTTACAAAAATTTATATTACCACCTACTCACACATGGCAACTCAAGCAGTGGTGGGATTCAAATTTTTTTATTACCGGTTCTGTGGGCATGGCTTCGTGGGTGTGGCTTAGTGGGTGTGGCATGGGAACGTTACTGCAAAATCCCATTCCCTCCCCACCCCACTAGCCTGCTTTCCAGCTCTGTTCTCCTGTGCAGGGCAACAAAAGAAGACCCAGCCAATCAGCTGGGACTCAGGAGGCAGAGAATAGATGGGGGTGGGGCCAGTCAGAGGTGGTATTTGCCGGTTCTCTGAACTACTCAAAACTTCTGCTACTGGTTCTCCAGAACTGGTCAGAACCTGCTGAATACCAACTCTGGATCCAAGGCAACTTACACAGCTATAAAAGCACCATATAAAAGAAATAAAAGTAATAAAAAGAAAAATAATAAAACAATAAAACAACCCCCCAACCCCCAACCCCATAGGCAACGCACATTCATACAAGCCTATTAATGGGCTTCATCCTGCTCTGGGTTCCCCAGGCCCGCTGGCAGAACCACGTCTTCAGTGTTAAGGGCTGTTCAATAGTGGCAAAAAGTTGTTTTGGTATATGGTGACCTCTCCCAATCCCTGAAGGTATTTAAACGTTGACTCACTCTTTTAAAGACATTGAGTTAATAAAGGGAATATTGGAGTACCAGTGTTGTCCATTATTGCATCTCTATTGTTATTTGTGCAAATTCTTACTACAGCAATTAACAGAGCTCATGGTGACACTACAGTTCAAAAATTGCTATATTATAAGATAATTTATTCATATTTCATAATCATGAAATACAGAGATATCCCTAAAGAGTAATCAGCTCAAGGCTGAAGGTTCAGTTCCAGAAGCCATGCATTTGTTTACTGTTTTTGTTCATAGAAAAGTAGATGGTCACACAGTAAAGCATTTTCTCATTATGCAGTCTATGCATTTTTACTCGGAAGTAAATGAGTAAGTGGGACTTTTAAAGAAACAGGCATGTAAGATGCAAGCTACTAAATCTTCTATCAAGAACCAAGATATTGGTTTACAGCACACAATCCACAATTCCACATGTTCTCCAAATGTTGCTTCTAAACGACCTCCTTGAGTAAATGCAAGATGAAACTTTCATGTGACAATATACAATAAGCTGCAGGGAAATTACCTGAAGACTGAATCCACTAATGACCTAGATATTACACTTTAATTTATTGATAACTAAATAATCAGAGGTTTTTTACAGGCTTCTAAAGTCCTGACAATTGTGTATTGTGCACTTCAGCATGCACGCTGACACAAACAAAAACAATAATAACATCTGAAATGTAGTTAGGAACACAATTGAGAACATCTGTATAGTAAGCAGAAATAAATTAGAAATACTGAAGTGTTTTGTAGCTGTGAAACTGGAGAATATAAAAAAAAAATAACTGACAGCACCTGGATTAAGCAGTTATAAATAATGGATAAAGGGAAAAATCACATTACCCCCTGTGTAAATTCCTCCTCTGAAATATATTTTATGAATGTAGAATTACAGTAATAAATGCAATATTTGTTTTTCCCCATAGAAGCTCTACTTCACAGCTGTAATGTAGTTTGAAAAAGCAATCATGACTATAATGTACTTTAGAAAAAGTAATGACCAGTACAGACAGTGTTTGCCAGAGTTGCTGTTTCCCTAAAATAATTTTGCTTTAACTTTCAGAAAGAAAGACACATGTTGCTATTGAAATACTTCATTACACTTTTGGTACTTTTGCAAACTTGTTAAGTTGCCAGGGGATGATCTTTATGCCATCATATCATGTAGAACAAGGAGGATTGTATATGTAGGGACCTTGAATGTTTCATCATCAAACTAAGTAACATCAGAACACTGATGTGGTTATCTAGTTTGGTAATGAAATGTCTGCAACAACCAAGCTCAGAGAACACCAAGGACCCCTCAGTTCAACCTTGAGTTACTCTTTTATAGGATTGTACATGTCTGGTCTTTTGCAGGACTGATGGTTTAGAGAAAGTGAAGCAGCCATCTCATGATTTTAAAAGGACAGCAGCTTATTAATGATATAATTTATTATTTCTATACTTCTATCCCTAGAGACAGAGATCCCTAAGAATTGCAGTGTTAATGCATTACAAATAAATAGGGAACTAACAGACGGGAGAATCTATACAACTGGATCCATGACTCTATGGGACAAAGTAAATTCCACCAAAAATCAGTAACTCAAATGTAGGCTATTGCTTTAAGAATTACACTATATTAAATTTATCAAATGGATTCTTCAAAGCAGCAAAATGTATTTATTTATTTATTTTAGGCTCAAAAAAGGCTGCAAAAGGTAGAAATCCAAAGTGGTGCTGGACTTCTGTTTGTAAGAGGTTTAACTTTAAAGCACTTCTGGATCAGAGTTTTTACTAGCAAGCAATTCTCTCCAAAACAAACCACCTTTCTAACAAATAAATATCAAAAAGTCTTACGACAGAGTTGTGTTTGCAGACAACAGAGCCCCCTCCCCCCAGGAGCGATATCTTTGACAACAGTTTTGCTGATAATTGTCTTTAATTTCAATATTCAGTAGCAGTACACTCCTTTGTGGAAAAAGCAAATAAGTGGAAGAAAAAGTCAAGCTAGAATCAAACAGCAACCCACCAGAATCTAAATGAAAAGAGACAAGAATTTCCCTTCAGCTCATAGATAGAAAATGTCAGAAACATTAAAAAAAAAAACACATTATGAAGTCAGGCAAAAGTCTGGAGTGTTTTTCCTTCATGATTAATGATTGGTCTGAAACAGGATGGGAAAGGTAAAGCGAAGTTCCTCTTGAAGTATCTTAAAAATGCCACAACTGGCAGCGGGGACAGGGGGTGAATGGGTGGGAATATTGCAACATCAATTTAAAAATAATAATAATAATAATAATAATAAAAAAATCCCCTTCCACTAAGATGTAAAGGTCAGACAAGATTTGGGTGTTTTTTAAATGCTGTCGTGAAGAAATGTTTATAAAGGTTAAGATGTCATGTTGTTTCAGAGTTATGGGCGTTGGAGGGGGGTTCCTTGAGTGCCCGCTGCACCTCAGGCCACTGTGGGTTTTGAGACACAATGACAATGGACAGCAGGAGGCTGGCAGATCATAGGCTATTGCTGGGGAAAATTGTACCTTGCTTCCCAAATAATGCAAAGGGGTATGAATATTTCAGAAGCAAAAACAAAAATATCCTGTCTTAAAAATATGCCTTCCATAATACTGCAAAGGTCTAATTTAAACACCCCCCAAAGCAGGAACATTTCCAGAGTTCAAGCTGACTCTCTATCCTTAACTCAATTTATTACGCCTCTCATTTGCAGTACAAATACATATGGTTTGCACAGGCACCTTGAGCTAAATTCAGCCTGTTTCAGATATTGGCTAGCAAATGGGAAGGAAACGTGATATGGCTGTTCAAGGTATTGCTTTTAAAACATTAAACACATAAGCCCTTGTGGCTGAAAAGGTATGGAAACAGGTAATGGCCATGTTGCATTTGTCTATCTCTTCCAAAAATCCTTGGACAAGTTTCTTCATGGCTGTTATATAGCAAGATTTGCAGACTTGGTCCTATTTAGTTACAAAGAAAAGCAGGACCATAAGAATATTGGAACTGCTTTGTGTCAGGCTCCATAGTTGTAAGCAAACTCAGAGTAAGTGATAAAATACTCATTTCACATCCAATAGATTCTTAGGTTCAGTCCCAGAGTAAGAAATCTAAAACTTATGTTTTGATTTGCTATTAGGCAACTTCCCACTTCTAATTTCTCATCAATTGAAGACTAAGCTATACTGAGGTCCTGCAAGAGAAAATGGTTTGGACATCATTTTCAGCTCATACTTTTCACTGTGTTATGATACAAATGCTCACATGCCAATACAACTTTCAGCCTTGCAGTTTAAGCAATACTAATTAAGATACTTGATTTGCCTCAGAGGTGGTATTTAGCAGGTTCTGACCAGTTCTGGAGAACTGGTAGTGGAA